AATCTTATATTAAAAAATTTTTCTTTTTTGCTATTTTAATAATAAAATAAATATTTGCTGTAATTAATGTTGTAATTTATTTATCAAATTTTGACAAGTTTATTTTCAAATTTTCAAACTTACTCGTAAACTTTATTTAATCATTTTTTCCATTTATTTTAACTTTACTATGTTTTATTTAACATAAGAAGTAATTCGAATGCTATAAAAAATGAAAAAAACTGATTTAAATTTTAATGAAATATCAGATAAGTTATGTTGAGTAAAATAAAAAACGATACCATAAATCTAAATAAACAATATTGGTTATTTTTATTTTTATATAAATGATTTTAATTATATTCTAATAAATATATTCATTAAATCCTAATTACATCATTTTCTTCAAATATTATTAATTTTTTTTCATGTCCAACTACTTATTTAGAATCTACATTATTCTCATGAACATATGTAAGGATAACTTATATTACTATTTTAGTAATTTGGAGCGACTGTTATACTATGTCAAACTGTGAAGCTTGTTATTATTATTTATCATGTGACACGTGCTCACCAAGATATTATAGTAATCATAAAATCTATTTTTCTGCCAGGCTATTATTCATACTTAGTATAAGAATGCGGGGCTTGTCCATAGTTTGTACTAGTTCAAGTAATTGCACAACTTGCTTACCAAAAATTTATGGCTCAAGCTGTAATGCTTGCCCTAGTTAGTGTGCTACTTGCACATCTAGCGCTGTATTGAAGATGAAAAAGTATATAATTTAATAATCTATCTTTTAATTTTACATGAATAATATGTCAAACCTGTGTAGATAACTATTATATTATTGGAACTATTTGCTCAGTTTGTGATACTTCTTGCAAAACATGTCAAGATTCTAGTACTATGTGTACATCATGTGATGATGGCAAATACCTTTCGAGTTCATTTTAATGTCTTCCTTGTTCATCCCCATGTTCTGCTTGTATCAACAATTCAAATGATTGTACAGCATGCATTGATAGTAATAAAACAGTTATCAATTTTTAATGTGTTTGTAATGATAGATACTATAGTGATGGATCGAATTAATGTTAACTTTGTACATCACCATGTTCAAAATGTGAAAATAATTCAAATAACTGTACGGAATGCATCTCTACTTTTATATTAAGTTAGATTATATAATATAAATGCGAATGTTAATCTGGCTATTTTTAGGTTGATTCCTAAACATGTTAACAATGCCAAAGTCCATGCTAAACTTGTGAATCAAATTAGAATTACTGTTTATCATGTGTTGATACTAATTAAATAATAAATGATTTTCATCAATGTATTTGTAAAACAGGTTGGATTTTTAACACTGGTAGTATCACATGCATCAAATGCTAATTACCATGTATTACTTGTGTAGATACAATAAATAAATGTGTTACATGTAAAGATCAAGTAATTTAATAACCTGAATTTTGTGAATGTCAATCTGGATGGATATTTGAGGATAATTATTTCTGCATACCTTATATATCACCATGTAAAACTTGCGAGATATCTACATCTAAATGTTTGACTTGTCTAGATCCTCATCAAAAACTTAATAACATGTCATAATGCGTTTGCTAATCAACATATTATTCTAATACTCTAACAACATGTTTAAAATGTGAAGAATCTTGTTTTGAATGTGATATAAATGGATGTATAAATTGCATAGATAACAATTAAATCTTAGATTCAAACAAATAGTGTATTTGTATAATGGATATCTCTAATAAAATAATGTATGTCTTTAATGTCAAAATCCATGTGCTGCTTGTATCAATACTATTAATGAATGTTTAACATGTGTGGATCCAAATTAAATAGTCAAAGATTATAAATGTGTATGTATGGAAGGATTTGTCTCGAAGGGAAATTATTGTTGTGATGAATATTGTATAGATTGTCAAGAAATAGATAATTGTAATAATTGTATAAAAGGATTTTATCTATCTGAAGTTAAGAGATGTTTATAATGCATTGAAAATTGTGATATTTGCTTAAATCAAATCAATTGTTAAGTTTGTTAGGATGGATACTTTATAAATTAATCAGCATAATGCGAATCATGTATTCTTTCTTGTAAAATATGTAACAATTCATTAAATTGCGATATATGCTTAATTGGATATTATCTACTGGATTAGAAATGTGAACTATGTAATTAAAATTGTTTAACTTGTAATGAATTATCAGAAAAATGTATTACTTGTAGATTCAATTATGAAATAAATTCTAATAATTAATGTATTTGTAAATTTGGATTCTATGAAAGTAAAATCAATGTTATAGATGCGAATATCCATGTGAAACCTGTTTAAGTAAAACAATATGTTCGGAATGTGTGCTGTTATCAAATTTACAATTAGATTCGAATTTTTAATGTAATTGCAGTCCAGGTTATTTCTGGAATTAAAATGGTTGTTCTTAATGTTATTAATCATGTTTAACTTGTATCAATAATTAATTTCATTGTATTAGTTGTGAATAAAGACTAAATAGAATTTTAAATAATAACAAATGTGGGTGTTCTTAAAACTATTTTGAAAGTGAAGGTGGAGTTTGTATCTCCTGTTTGGATTAATTGGGTAAATCTTAAGAAAGTTGT